AATCACATGCCTAATCAATCCAAACTGCCAAACTTAACAAACTTGGTCGATTTGAATCGGTTTGGAGGGATGCTGTTTTGGTTTTCAGGTTAAATTGGATCAATTCAAAAACCTCAGTTTGAAGGGTTGAATTTAAAAAGAATTAATTTTGGAGAGAAAAATCCTTTTGAACCCGACAAAGCAAATTAATTCGGTCGGGTTTATTTATCTTGTCAGTTTGGCTTCAATTTGGGATTTCACCCTAACCCGAACTGTCAATATTGTCAAACAAAACCAACTCGAGGTCAATTTGGAGGGATGTTGAGGTCGGATTTAAAAAAAAAAATGATTTTAATCAGTATAAGTTCTGTAAAAAAAGTATGAAACTGTCGATAGTGTCAAACAAAACCAACTTGAGATTGATTTGGAGGGATGTTGAGGTTGGACTTAAAAAAAAAATGATTTTAATTAGTATAAGTTCTGCAAAAAACAAGCGCACCATTATTCAGTACTACACTGCTCGATATTGTCTGAACTGCAATTGCTGGTTCACTTTTGCCACCAACTTTTGTCATTTCTTATATACCACCCATTTACCCTCTTCCTGCCCAATTTATTGCCAAAAAAAAAAAAAAAATGAAACAAAAAAAAAAAAAAAAAAGAAAAGGAAGGAAGAGAAGAAATTATTAACCCTTAACCCCACCCCCCATTTATTGCTATAAATAGTGCATTAGGTTAGGGCCTTGTTCGTTCATTCATTACAAACAATTCAAACTCTTAAAGAAACACCCACCAAAATTCAGCAATTTTCTGAAAGACAACCAAAAAACAGTATTTCGAAAGAAAAANAAAAACCCACCAAAATTCAGTAATTTTCTGAAAGAACCAAAAAACAGTATTTCGAAAGAAAAAACCGTAGATCGACCAGTTTCCCCAATTCTCTTTGTTATGCGTATCTATTCAAAATCCACATGCCCATGCCTTCCCCTTTTCATTTATACTCTGTTTCCTTTCTTAGAACCCCCTCCTCCTTCTGAATTTCAAAACCCAAATTACTCTCCACTCTACTGATATATATCTTATATACGTGTATTTTTGTATCGAAAATCATAGAGTGAAATATGGATTCGAAAGTGGTATTTGATAATGTGAAATTTGAAAAGGCAAAGGCGATTGCGCGGTTTAATAGGTTTCGGAAAATTAACAAGATATG